CGACCTTTTACCCGCGGAGAACTTTTGCATGGAGGTCAGGGGTCACTTGAGTCAATTTGGTCGAGTCTTAATTTGGTAACAAACATTTGTATTTTAATTTTCTTCCCTGTTGATGATCGAACAAAAGTGAACGAGAAAAGCAGCTTTCTACTGAATAGAGGTTGATCTAGTTTCATTAGTTGTGTAATCTAATTTATCATTAATGTTTTAGTGGAGGAACTCGACATTGGAGATAACTGGATCCAGGTCCAAGGGGATGTAGATAAGATTCTTGAGCACGCAATAAAAACTGTTCCTGTGCGAACGGTTCGCCTGAATTTAGAAGTCGCCAGAAAGTACTTTTCATTGATGACAAAATTGATGACTAAGAGAAATGAAACCATTCATCAGGTGAAGTTTGGAATTTTAATTTATGTGTTACTTCTGGGTTATTTACGAAGGACCCTGTTACACTTCCATTTTTTCTTGCAAATGATATTTTGTATACGCAGCAATTTGTTGGTTGTCACCGTCTTTTGCGAGGATTTCATTGCCTGGGCTAAATGTGTTACTTCTCGGTTATTTACAAAGGACCCTGTTACACTTGCAATTTTTCTTGCAAACGACATACAGGAATAGAGATAAATAGATAAACAGTTTATTTATAATGACTTTGCAACTAGAAAGTTGAAATACACGAATATTACAAAATATAATATCTATAATAACACTATAAAAAGCTATTAGTAGTTTAAAGTAAGTTTGTATAAAAAAAATGTTTGTACATCTGTTACGTTTGTAAATAAGATATGTCGATTAAATATAAGATTTCAATAAAACAGTTTAGGCTGTAAGAGTATTAAAGGTGATAAAACTGTTCAGAACGACTTTAACAAGCTAACTTAATCCTTTATTGTTCACTAATTTTTCAATTTGGGTTCATAGTTGGACGAGAAAATTGTCGATCTTGAGTGCAATGTAGTAAAATCCAAGAAACAAAATGAAGAATTAAGGAAGAACAATAAAAAAGCCAAAGTGAAAGCTGAAAAACTTCAATACCAGAATCAAGACCTGCAAAACAACGTGGTAAGTACGTCACACAAGTAGCAGGATGTTCCAGAAGCAGCGCAGATGACCCTCGGCCAATCTTTATTTTAACTACCACCACAAAAAAAAAAGATACACGGAGCTGCGGGGATCGGGAGGATTGGGGCTACGTGCTGTGGGATGGAGAACGTGGGAATCTACGATTCCACTTATTTAATATCCCTTCTTTGGGAACTAAATCGACTATAACAATGATTTTCGTGTTATTCTAACAGAAAGAACTGCAAAACATGATCAATAACCTCAACGAAAAGTTGGATGCCTACAAGAAAAAAGAGTCACACGGTTTATTTAAAAGCAGCAGTGAGTCCATGGCAAGTTCGAAGGAAAGCATAGAGAGGGTTTCGGTCGTCAGTCTTGTGGATGAACCATCACAGCAGCTCGCTCCAACAGGAGAAAAAGTTTCCATACAGACCCCTAAACCATCTAAATCGAAAGTTGTTATTGAGAGCGATTCCAGAGCTCCAGTTGCTGCGCCAAACAGCGAAGAAAGTAAGAAAGAAATATCTCAGCTGAGAGAGAGATTGGAAAGAATACAGGACGAGTTAAAAGTCGAAAAAGAAAAATCTACAGCTTTCGAAAACGAATTCGTATCACTACAATCAGAAAAAGTGAAAGTCGAGCAAGAACGAAGTGAACTGGAGATAAAGCTGGAAAACATTCAACGGGAACATGAACGGGCAGTGGAAGAGTCGGTTGAAAAATTGGAAGACTTGGAAAGGGAGAACAAAAGGTAATCATGACAAGCTTTCCTCCTTCCCACAGGAATCTAATGTAGTTCAGATTACTCGGCGTGAACTTAATTCCCAGCAGTATGGAGGGTTAGGGTGTTGATCGGCCAGGGAGAGAAGAACCAGACCGGAGAAGTTTGAAACTAATACTAAAACTGTTAAACTTATGGGCATACCACCAAGAAAATTGTTCATCTATGGTTAACTCTTTAACTCTTTAACTCTTTAACTCTCATGAGTGGTTAAGATCGAATTTCTCCTTAAATATCAATACACTATCAAAGAGACAAGTGATGAGAATAAAGAATTGTATCGATTAGGGGATTATTTGTAAATCCAATCCTAAATTCCCCAGACTAACATCATGATAACTGTATGGCAGACAGTAAGGAGAACTACAAATGAGATATTGGGAGTGAAAGAAATATTAAATGAATTGAATGACAATCCACACCCACTCTCCACTTAGTAGCATCGAAATGTAAATGAATTTGGCCAGAGGCGAGTGTCAAGTCCCTCTTTCTTTTAAGTTTTCGAGGTTGTCGACTGAAATGGGGGTGTTTCGACATTTTTCTTGCTTTGTTTTTGTTACTGTTACTGGTACATAATACAAGTATATTCAAGTATATGAATATATAAAGAGATTCCTTTTAAAATAAACAGGATGACAGGCGAGATAGAATGCAACGAAGAGATGATCAAATATCAGGAGGAAAGACTCGGTCAGTTTATGGAAGAAATCCAAAGCCTCGAGGAACGAATGATGTCCTTTCCCCCTACTCCTGCCACAATGAGTGTCGCGAGCATGGCGGGGGCAACGCGGCGTGAACGCAGGAAAACCTCATTGCAACTGGGTCTAGAGCCACAGACAGCGCGGCAAATGGTTGCTAAAGTAAAACAACAGTATGAGGCTGAACTACAGAGTCTGAAAGATCACCAGGCTAAAGAAAATCAACGACATCAAGCTGAATTACGACGATTGGAGCAAGAACACAAGAAAGACCTGCAAAATATCCACAAGGAATCCTTGCAGTTACTACGGGCTCTCAACAGATTCAAAGACGGTGTCGCATCGCTACTGGATAGGGAGAGTAAGTTTAACACGGTATTTATAAGTCTCTACAGTTACAGAAATGGTATTTCTTCTTTGTGTTACAGTAAAAGGTTTTTCTTAAAACAAACTGAAGAATTTAAACCCATGCCTACATATACCTATAGCTTTCGGTTTTATCAACTGATCAAAAACTTAATATCATGCGGATTGTGCATGACAGGACTCTAAGAAATTGAGTCCTAAGCAGGGGTGTGTAACTGCGCCAAGTTAGTGAAAGAGACTTATGAATGTCAAATGATTAAGATGAACAAAAACAGAGACAATCACTTGAGAAGTTGCCAAGTTGCTCTCATTAGCTAGTGGCGTGTGCCATTACCGTGCGTGCGAGTGGCATGGATTGGTGGAAGTCACATTTTGAGGGTTTTTGTATGAAAGTTGGTATTCTTGTTATTCGAGCGATCAATCTTCAAAAGTTTTTTTGTGGTTGAAAACGAACATGAACAATCAAACAAATGTATAAATAAATAGATAAATAACTAAATAAATCAATTAGAATTGATGCAAATAAACGTGTAAAGATGCTAAAAATAATCAGTTGATGGTAGCCGAGGAATTGTTTTCTCACGAACATGTCATATTTCTGGTTATGTACCCTCTTTACTTCCACAACGAGAAAACATCAACGCCTCTGAAGATTTCACTTGATCGGTAAGAATAAGCTTTATCGAATGAAGACGTCGGTAATGTTTTCTTACCGGTCAGTTACAACTGATAGGGTCAGAGCTATTTCACTGAGTAGTAAAAGCAATTCTCTCTTTCTTTAATGGATCACGGAGCTCAGAAAAGGCACTTGAAAGACACCATTCGCTCAGCTACCTAACGGCTAGACCGTGTGTGAAAAGCAACTTGACGTCTGTAAATAGTTCCTATTTCTTTGACAAGCGGATGTCCTTCTTCATCTTATTTTCACGTGGTGGTTTTTTCTTTTTCTTTTCTGAGATATGGGTGAAGAGGCGCATAATATTCGTTGTCATGCGCCACTTCCGCTGGACGAGAATTTTGGGGACACACGACAGATGTTAGCACGCATGGCTATCTTGGCCAATGAGATGATGATTTCAGTGGAATTACAACTTTCCAGGGGACTCATGAGTAAGCGATTGGAATCAAAGGTAACAACTGAGCAATTGAAAATTTTCTACAATAATAACCACTAGGAAAATGTGCAATGCCACTTGTCTGTGAAAAGTACTTTGTTAGCTGCGGTTTCCCATTCGGTAAGAAAGGACATCTGTACAAATCTCCTACTAATTCGACCGTGCATGCGCGAATATTATGATAACATAGCTTCACTTCCTGTTCACATACAACAGTGTAGTCCTCAGTCGTACCTCAGAGTGATTTGACGGGAGCGTTTACCAGCATAAAAGAGGAGTCAGGATTAACGTCCTTGCCCCGCGATTTTCAGTGCGACATATTTCTCCCCGCCTATTGTCGCCTTCTAGAAGCGAATAAACAGGATTTGTTACGAATCTACCCAGTTCTCATTCGTATGGTGAGGTCTGAAGAAAAAACCATACGGTCGCTGGTATAAGTATCTTTCCTAGGCATTTCGTGAAACAAATGTCTCTTCTAGCTGTGGACAGCAGTGCAGTGATACTATACTCGATACTCAGAGTATAATGTCTGTAAGCGAAGCTTCACAAAAACCGTTAACCTCAAAAGTTAAAATTTAAATGCCCAGGGGTGCGATCCGCACACTCTCATAGCTAAGTAGCGGACAGTTTAAAAAACTACCTTATTATTTCTTGTTGTTTTTGTTGTCTTGTTTTACTCAAAGGATCCACATATGGGTCGAATGGATCAGTCAACTGAGAGGAAAATGCCGAGGGATCATGGCTCGATTGCGCGAAGAGGAACACTAGGACAGCTACGTATTGATGGCAAACAAGTAGAACTTCATGTGTGGAAACTCTTAGAGGTAAGTTTTAGTAAATGAAAACTAAACTTACCGAGTTTTTTCTTTAGTACTCCAGAACAGCTTTTCGTAAAAAGTTTTCTTTGAATCTCAAACCTACCGGCCTATATTACTAAGTTGTAAGTTGGTTTATCCGTAAAACGCCTCCCTACTACTCCCCGGGCCTAACGTCATAACGTCATTGTAGTTTTGCGCTTGAAATCTCTGGCCTTGTTTCTAAAAGCTTTTTTCAGTGCCTTTTGTTGGTCTCTGGTAGCTTTCGAGGGGCAACGTACCCAACTTAAAATTGAATATTTTCTTTTTGTTACTGAAAATGTTAGGAGGGGAACCGACAAGAAGTTATGGAAGTCGTCAAAGAATTACAAACCAAGGTTTCAGAGGTAGAGCAAACAGTTGAAAAAGTTAAAAAAGTGGACGAGGAGAAGATACAGAAGAAAGAATCACAGCTGCAGAGAGTTTTGAGAAGGGAATCAGAAACAAGAAAAAGCGTAGACGAGCAAAAGAGTATTATAAAGAACTTAGCTGCCATTTGGAAAAGCCGCAGAATAGGACAGAAGTATATTCGCCGTGAGGATCAGCAAAGAAACCTGGAACTGCTTCAGCAAGCGATGAAAGAAGATCAAATTTCAAAAGAGTTATACGAGGTAATGTCATCAATGTACAACTGACAACTTTGTATCTAATGAACGAGCTCCTTTAAAGATTAATTCAGGTTGAGAGAGCGTTTAGCTTTTAGCTCACACCCACTTTGGACAGAAGGCTTTTAGAAAATTTTTAGAAGAGTAAAATACGCAAGAGCCCCCGTTTGGCTTAAAAATATACAGGAATGTTTGTCCTTGGACATTTTCTCTTCCTGGAAGCTCACAGTTCTTCTGAGCTCTGTTCCTGGAAAGCGTTCTCTTCTCGCAACACGTTATATTTTCTTGCCAGAGGAAGATTATTGTCTATTCGTTTCCGAGAGACTATCAATTTTGATCCTGAAATAAAATTGGGTCAAATTCACTTGAAATAAGACTGGGTCATTTGGGATCAATAGCCTTGACTTGTTGCTCCATTAAGATTGCATCTGTCATTTAATTTGCCGTACTTCTTTCTCTTTTTGTCCCACACATGTTAAGTCTACAACAAAACTGATCAAGCAAGCTATGGATTATCCTCGCAAACGCTTCATTGAACTTGTTGAGAGGTACGTGTATCACCGACGCGTCAAAGAAATACAAGAAAACGTGCAGAAAATGAGAGAGGAATCCAACATCAATGAAAGAGTACTATTGGCTATGAAGGATGCGGAAGAGAGAATGATCAGAGTAAGCTACCCTCTTCCCAGTACCCATATTCACAACGTTAATAACAACATATATTTTTTTTCAATATTATCATTATTATCATTATTAACCTCGGAGGCCGCTTATGGAAAAAGTTATTGTAACACCTGGCTTTGAAATTACGCCCAATATACCGATAACTTCCTTGAGATGAAGAGTCGTTTCGGGTGAGGAGCTTGGTTTCATTTCAGCAACGGCTGACTTTCGATCCTACCACTGTTTGTCCACTCTCGCCAAATAGAAACAAAGAATACACAGTCAACTGACGTAGCGATCTTTACTAATGATTGTCAGTCGCGTAGAAGGTAGCCTCCCTTCAAGGGACTCTTGCAGATGTTCTTGTAAGCCCATACTCGTCACAGCCTCATAAATGGCTTCGTGTCGATGCTTTATCTCATACAGCAAAAGGAAACATGGCGGCAGAAAAAGGAAGAGTTCATCAAAGCTCGCGCAGACGTTTTAGAAAAGCTGCATAAAGTGTAAGTGTTCTCCTTTGTCAAAACGCTGCCTTAGATACAGTATCAAATACATGACAATTACCAACGCTTCGTTGACCTAGTTTGTTCTTATAACTTCCTATTTGTCTGGATTTCTCATCTTGAATCTGGTCCTGTATTTAAGAAACTTTTCCTGAATCATTTTATTTTTTTCCGTTAGAGTGTGGAATGTCCTTAATTTAAGTCTGAAATCGCGGAAAATTCAGTCTACAAACAATTTGAAATTAATAATCATAAAGGGATGAACACTTTGATCAACAGACTTTCAAATAAGTATTTCAAATGCTGCTTACCTGTGTGATGAGTTTTTCTATATTGGAAATGGTTGACACATCCTGGGGTGATCGGGCATACTTAATTTAAACATCAGTATATATTTAACAATTACTCTTATTAACTTTTGTTGGAAAAGAAAACCTTATGATGCCTTTGGGAAAAGCCGTTTACGAAAATCTAGACAATTACTTTCACTAATAAGTAGGTTGAGTAGTACATACAATCTCTCCGGGGGGGAGGGGGTATGCTAAGGACGTTTTATCAGAATTCTTTTCTTTTCTATAGTCTTACTCAAGTTCATGAGGAAACTGGAATACTTCTTATTAAGCCAAAGGATTTGATTCCACGGCTGGAAGATATTAGAGAGGACGTGAAAGAAATCAAGGAAGACGACATTTCGGCTGCTGCAAATATTCCTAAGCTGCGCGCAAAACTTCGTAAAGCAGAGCTACAAGCTCAAGTGGCAGCAGAGAAGGAACCACCCCTGTCTGATGTGGAGGGTACGTGTGCAACGCGTGAGAGGGGCCAGGAAGCTTCATGGAAGGTTGGAGAGAAAACTTTGTAATTGGATATGTCACATTGTTAATTACATCTGTAGGCGTAAACCAAGGAGTTGAGCCAAGGGTCAGGAAGCGAGGGTGCTGCAGCCCTCAGGAATGAAAGCTTGAAAAGGTTTCCGAGTTAATGCTGATGTATGTGCGTAAACACTCCCTGCATGTTTACTTGATGGCCTAAACTTTCCAATTAAGTCTCTATTAAGTCAATTATTCTATCAGTGGTTATAGAAGTAGTTTCTCATAAATTTAGCATCGTGTGAAGTGTGTCATTTATATCTGCTCTTCTTCTGAGGAAACTGACGTTGGCACGCCTACTACAACAGCAAAACACAAACAAAGCTCTCTTACTGTGTAAAATTCGAGGCCATTAAGCTACTTTATCTCTTATTTATCTTGCCAAAACTGAAGAGTGAACTTCAGACTAACGAGAGAACTAGATTTGTTTTACAAGAGTTACAAATCGATTGAAAATTTATCATGGAACTTTTCATCAAAAACGGCTTGACACAACAAACGAAGCAAACGAAGGCTAAGACTTTTGATTTTTGTGTTGTCTCGGAAAACAACTGCTACTTTAAGAACGACCATTTTGCGAATTTCCTCTCTGAAAATTGATTGAAGACTAGAGGTGATCCCTGCAAGTCCTCTTTCGCCTCGCCAAGAGCTATTACGGACATAGAACAATGCCTCGTATTGTTCTTTTAACACCTCAAGAATTCATAGGCGCTCTGTTTGAACAGAGTTCGGCCTCTGCATTATGTCTTTACACACTTTGGAGGGATTCAGTTTCAGATCTACGGATTGTTTGGATCTCATGCGTTTTTCTTCTTATTTTAAAATGCGAGAAAGGCTTGAGAGCTTTTCCTGACTCTGGAGAAAAGGTGTTATGGAATTATCTAGTAATTAATCTATGTATGATGATTCCAAATTTTAAATTACTTCTAATACTTTCAATAGATGTGGGAATTATTTTTTGGCGTTTTTGGTTTTCATGCTGTTTGGGTGTGTTTGAACCCTGAGTTCAACACGCCTTTTCGTGTGATATTTTTGCAGGGGGAAAAGACGTATATGAAGGAACCCCTATGTCCGGCCATGTGGCAAAATACGGCTGGACCAATTCATAACCGATCAGAACGCTCTGATTTACTCCAGGACTACCTTGCAATATAATAAATTGCATATAATTGTACATACCACACAAGTGAATAGCGCTTTTCGCGCGCGCTGCTTGGCTAATTCGGAAGTTGATATCAAGTACTGGACACCTCCGAGCAGCCGATGAGACAAAATCGCGCGTCAAGAGTTTAATTTCCGAACATTTTTCGGTATTTTCGTAGAAAAGGTTGTGGTTACTCTCCTGTTGTTCTGGAGTTTCTTCTAAAAATTAAAATAAAAAAAAATTTTAAAAAAGTAAAATAAAAAAGAGGAAAATTCTTCTAATAGAAATTCCAGAAGCGTGAATGCCCACGATCAAAAAACACAACAACAGGAGAGCCGTGCGACAGCGGACCGCCGAGGGAGCAAATCACTGAGTGAACAGCAAGGATCGAAATGCACCAATCAGAGCTGTTGCAAAACAACTAATCAGAGCAGAGAATCATGCTTTATAAGATCACGCATGACCAGTCGACCTCATCGCCTGAAGAAGACTAGCCGACTAGCCAGTCGAAACGTCGCGATCTACATCACACGTGACTACATCTGGAGACAAACGAAAAACTTAGCTTTTATTTTTCGGCATATTGAAAGAGATAAACTATTTTGTATCTGTGTAGTAAACACTGAGACAATTATTCACCTCAGCGCCGTTGAAAGTGATAGATATTCACCTCAGCACCGTTGAAAGTGATAGATATTCACCTCGTAGCTTCGCTTAATATCCACCACTACTCACCGGCAAAATCATTTGAGCTGAAGCCCAACAGGTGCTAGGCCTTTCCTTATAAGCAGCGAGACGTTTACACCATGAATTGTTTTCATTTATGAGTTATAAATGTGCTCTAATTCCAGGTCATGTCATCGCTTGCTCCTGCTATGGTCACAACACCAAGAATATTGGACATGGATATCAATCGCAGCCGTGATGTAGCTAAGGAGTAAGTTCATCAGTGCTCGTGCAAATAGAGCTTAGAACGGTCGCTCGTAATACTTTGTTAAGAGTGGCGTTGTTTAACTTGTAAAAAGTGAAGGGATAACCAAATCTCACGGTTGTTACGATATCTAAACAAGAATGACTTCATTTTTTTTATGCCAAGGGTAGACACTGTTTGATGATAAAATTTAAAGAATAATCACTCGATTGGTACCTGTTGTAGTCCAAACTTTTTCTTGCTTTGAAATTTCTTCCAAGTTGACAGATAAATTCTGTATAGACTGCTACTGACTGAGGAAACATGTTAAACCATCTATAATTCCTTTGAAAAGAATTGAAGGATGAACATGTGGACAGATGTTCAGTTCTCCATGCTCTAGATTCTATACGAATTTTAACCCATACAATTTATTTTCACCTATCACGTTTTCATTACAAACATCTTTCACCTGTAATTAAGTATAATTGTTGAAAAAGAAACGATCATGCTTCACTACGAGTGTATTGACATAATGAATGACGGCAATCTTCTCTAAGTGAAGAAATGATCCTTGCAGGTAATCATTTTTTCCCCTCTCCCAACGTGTAGCTTCGTGGCTCGGATGGTAGTAACGCCCAACTAATGTCTTATCTGGGAGGCACGGGTTCTTACCTGGATTTTTTCAGGCTTCTTTGTAGCTATTTCTTTAATCAATTTGCAACTCATGTTAGATTATCTTTTTTCCTATGTATTTTATCTATAGGTTAAAAAACTTATTCATGAAAATCGCGCCCTTTTTTAACAGCATCTTCTACCATTATTTTTTTTAGAATTTTGACCAATGTAAGCGAAGCTTCAACGACGTCCAAATCCGTCAGCATTCCTCCAATGAGGTTTTTCCCTATGCTTTATGGTTACTACAAACAGCCTCACACCGGAATCCGTAGAACGAGAAGCGAACCTGCTCAATCGCGAAAAAAATCTGTAAAGAGCTTCCAATCCAGAGAAACATTTCTTCCTCCGATAGCTACACTTTATCCTGAGAACGACCAGACACAGGATTCTTAATTATTCAGAAAAAAATTTTAAAACTGCGATTTGGATTTCGTGAAAACATAGAAACATGTAAAATAAAATTTTCTTTAGTCGTTGCAGACTTTTGTTGAATAAATGAAGATATACCTGTTTATTGAAGAATAAAGGACAACAGTCCTAAAATTTTTGTTTGAACAGTTCTGACAAAACGCTTTAAAATAAATACATTTTTAAACTATGTAGTTACAGTACCCCACCCCTTTTTGGTACCTCATCATCTTTGGACCCGGATTGAAGTTGTGACATCTGTGGCACATGGGAGATGTCTTGGTGTGATCACTATATTGAATTAAAGCTTGCAGCCAAATGTTACTAGTGAAACGAGCCTTTTCCGTTCGACAAGGAGAATGATTCCTACTAGAGCCACTTGTTAGCGGAGGTATGCAGTCCCGCGAGTGGAAATTGTCGCCTTTTCATTGTTTATTCTGTCTCACGCCGAGGGTGGCTCATGGCCACCTTGGAGGAGTGTGCCTCATGGCCACCTTGGAGGAGTGTACCTCATGGCCACCTTGGAGGAGTGTGCCTTTGCAATTCATTCAAGCTACTTCTTGAAACTTAAAGGAAGATCCGAGACTGATTATTGTGAAATGGCCAATCAAACGTATTTTGAAGTCAAAGTATCCTTCGAAAGGTTACTCTTTTATCAATTTTGTTTTCAACTGCCCATTATTAGGCAGCTCACTTTACCATCTACCTATCACGGAATCGATATGAGCGAGTAGCGTAACCAATCAGATCAAGATGCAGCATTTGTGATAGGACACTAGTAGATTAACCATACTTGTTTAAGCTAGTCACATTTCCCGTGCATTTGAGAAATTAGTTTTACTTGCAATTTTCTATAAAAAAAAAAGATGTGTCAGGGGGAAATGCCTCAATCCAAATAGATACCATGGCCACGGGTTACCGATAAAGCAAAGCTAACGACGACAGTTTCGTTCACATTCATTCCTTCAGCGAGGTCAGTGTGCGGAGTAAAACCATCTTATACAAAAATATTAAGCAACAATCAACATTATTTTCTTCAAGGAAGTAATGGTGAATAAAAGCCCTCAACATTTTCAGCGAAAACTATGAATTGTTGCAATAGCTGACAAAAGGAAATAGTTTGTGACGCACGTGGTAAAAAAGAAAAAAAAATTCGCCTGCGAAAGACTTTTACGCCGACCTCCGTGGTAAGTTAGACTTGTTTATTTTTCTCGGAAAAGAGACAGTTCTCGTCGTCGGAATATGCATCTTTTTCCAATTGAGTTATAGATTAATTCTCCTTATTTCACCTGCTGACAAGAGTGAACTGAAAGATTCACTAGCAGAAAGAAAGAACGGGAGGAGAATCTTTTTTGAAACTCGAGTTTTTAGTGCAAAGAATACTTAAACTTATACTAAGATTGAAAACTAACCTTCTAGTTTCGCATCACGAGTAGCAAATGATTGCAAAGATGATGGTGAGAGCTCTAAAAGCGCGCGTCTTCGATTTGAAACGATACTTTTTTCTTCTCTAGTGAAAGCGTATACCAATGCCTTTACTGCGAAAACGAGCGAAGTAAAGAAATGACGTCACAGTAACAATTTATGACTCAAGTCGCGCGAGCCAGTAATTGCTAGACTTGGTCCCATGCCCCCTAAATCCAGATTATTTTATCCCATGATTTTTCAATTTACTCAACAAAACAACTTGTTCCTGATTGGTCAATGCCTGGTACATTGAGTTAAGAGTGCAATTTGTTCTTTCCGTATCACCTTGTGTCGAAATGTACGATAACCTGTGGAGCATTCGGACAGGAATATTATAGTCGGAAGGGTAGCCTTGAACGTGTGTCTTTAATTATAGCGCGTGCTACTTGATTTCAGGTACGTTTGGAACTACTTCAAGCTTCAAGTAAAATGTGGTGTCGTTGCATAACAATCAATGCATAGAACACGCAAATCTAGAACAAATTCTAACGTGTGTGTTGCAATAATTATAACTATCTGAAATTATATCTGACAAGTTCTTTCATAGTTTTAAACCTCAACGAGCAACAACCGTCCTTGGTCATTTTCGCTAATTCCCAACCCCAGGCAATTTTGACCCAGAAGAAGGGATAACTAGGGTTTTAAGACTTACTCTGGAGTCAAGATTGAAAGCTTTTAGGTCTTTTCTAATCATAGGAAGTTTGACCAATGCAGGTCTAAATTGTTCATTCATCGGTGGGTGAATGAAAAATTATGGCAGAATTAGCACTTTCACTGCCTGCTCCCCGGACGGGCCCTGAAACTCAACCAACCCAAGAAACCAGAAGAGTCAATCCCGAAACAGCCACAGCCCTGCAAATGCGACAGAATCCCATATAAAAAGTCGAATGACAATGGCCCATTGCAAATTTCTTTTCATGCTTGATACATGTATGTCTCAAAGGCAACAACAAAAAAGAAAAAAAGCACTTTGGAATATTTAATTGGCCATCCAAGTCCTGTCCCTGTCGAACTCCAGGCTTCACACACGTGGCGGCGTTCAGAGAAATAGAAGAGGAGAATATTATGCGCGCACCAGACGCGAAGGTTCAAATCTAGCGATCGCGAAAACACGAATCAAAGAGCTATTGATTTTAACAAGCAGTACTTTATTATCTCATCTTTTGATGGAATAAGACAGATTTACGATGACGTAGTTTGTCGTGGTCCAACACCACCTCCTGGACGCTGCCCTTGAGGATTGTCAGGCTAAAATAATAAGAAAAAAGAAACAATAAATCAAACAAAAACAAAAATCCTGGTGTTCAGTAATTTGCAATTGTTCAAGTCATGTTTCATCTATCTGAAACTTTAAAAGTGTCATGAAACAATAACAATGCAGAGTAATTTTTTAATAGTCAATTCTCTCTCAACAAAACTCTTACTAGAGGCCCAAGGGTTCATCCATAAATTAAGCTCAAGATAATTAATTATGCTTTTTGTAGGAAGACAAAGTTTCTT